TTAAACATAAATAAAATTATAATTAAATAAAACAAAAAACCGCTTGCGTGAAAAACAACTAACTGAAAAGGCTATAACAAAATAAAGAAAAAAATACAACATCATATCTAACATGCAGTAGGAGGCATAAAATGAATAATAAGTCAAATCGTTCTCTCTTTGTTCATGCCTCCGACTGCATGTTGCATAAATTATCTTTTTCTAGCCTTTTTAGTTTAAAATCACTAGATTTTTACTCAGGTATTGTAGGTATTTTATTATACTGTGCCCTGTTGATTTGCATCGAATATGCCCCGAAAGTATTGCACCGATTTAAAAAATTAAATTATTTATTACCTGACTGCAAAGGAAGGGATATGTTTTTAGGGCGTATCTTGTGTGTATGTAATATTCTTTATTGCCTCATATCTTTAGAACCGCTGAATGGATTAATATATATTAACGTTACCTAACTTTTTAGTTAGACATAAATAAAATTATAATTAAAATAAAACAAAAAACCGCTTGCGTGAAAAACAACTAACTGAAAAGGCTATAACAAAATAAAGAAAAAATACAACATCATACCTAACATGCAGTAGGAGGCATGAAATGAATAATAAGTCAAATCATTCTCTCTTTTTTCATGCCTCCGACTGCATGTTGCATAAATTGTTTATCTTTTTCTAGCCTTTTCTTATACTATATTATACTGTGCCCTGTTGATTTGCATCGAATATGTCCCGAAACTATTGCACCGATTTAAAAAATTAAATTAATAAATAAAAATTAACAAAACCAAACGGGAAGTTACATCATACGCGGGTCACATAGGCTACAATTTCCACAGACGAAGTAGCGAGTAAATTACTAGTTCTCTATAAAATTATGATTTTATTTGTAATTAAACCTTTTTTCTAATAGAGCTGGAGATTTCTTGTTCTTGTTATGAGCCAAAAGAGCGTCCGCCTCCTATGCATAATCTAAATATAAGGATACGACATCTTAGCGATGTCATAGGGCATTTTTTTACTTTACTACTTTCACTAATACTTTAATAATAAAGATCGAATGATAAAGAATAATGAATGTGGATTTGTCTGTTTTCAAATCTCAAATAAACTACTAAACAATATGTCAAACTAGTAATATTAAACGAAATATCGTCATAATAGGCCCTGAGATGATCCTATGGCTAGAGAGTTAGGCGGCCGCACCGATGAATGTGTGGTAGGGAAAAAATGTTACGAAGATTCAAAGTTCTTTATATAAGTTGTTTAAAGCTTTTATGGTCATTTATAAGGGAACGATTCGGGAGCTCACCACTGGATTGATCTCCATAAGACAAAATTATCTCGACTCAACGCCACTACATACCAAGAATGGTCAGGGAAGCGATTGTTCAGAGCACAAGAATTTCCATTGTGGAGTGGTTCGTATTTGTTAAGACCAGATGATAAATCTAAGAAGTGTGCTCAGATACAGTGAGTGTTGTAAATCTCGAGAATAGCAGGACGATTCTGTAATAATCACGTCATGATTTTTCACGTCATTTAGTAGAGAAATAGGGATGATGACTAATTTTTGTTTGTTTGTCCGTCAGGTAGAGTGTTAAAAAATATTAAACAAGTATTTTTTTATTTTTTCGTAATCCTAAAATTACGGCGTTACATTGAGTTGAAATATCGCATGACGTCACGTTAGAGTACGTTTTCTACTCAACTGTGACGTAGCGAGCCCCCACTCCTCAACTTTAATGCCTGTTATCTAAGCTATTACTTGTTAAATTGAAGTAAGAAAAAATACGTATCTAATATTTTTCTATTATCTGACTGACGGACTAAATAGAATTGCATTTTTTTTTACCCAGTCATCATCCCTATTCTGTAGGTTCCATTTTTTGTATAAAAATGCAAAACAGAATTGATTGATCATACATGTCTCAGATATTCTATTTCTATGTCATTTCAAAACTCACTTCACTTATGCCACGAAATGTTTGCCGCTTTTTAAATGTAAAATCGAGTTAGGGTTGGGATTTTTACGGAATCGCAGGGCAGGTACGAGTTAGTGGTGACATAGTGAGCAGTGCTACAGGTATCAAACCAAAAAGCGCTCGAAAGAAGGTAGATTATTATATCTGCCTATAACACCCATCCGTATAAGCTTCAATTACCCCATGATCATGGCGCTTGCAATAGCGCCGAGATATCGGGAACTCAATAAAAAAAACAAGGTCACCAGCCCTTTTAAGTCCCCTCTGCAGGGGCTCAGGCCTTCCTTATGGATGGTTAAGGAGGATGGGCCATGACGACTGGTATGGAGGGTATTAACGACTGCAAATGCAGCCGGCTTAACGTGCCTTCCGAAGTACGGAGTAGCTTGAGATAATAATTTTTTTTTTGGTCACCCATCCCCTGACCGACCCTTGCGAAAGTTGCTTAACGACAACGATCGCGGGCCACGGCGCTTATCCACTACGCCACCGAATAACTCAATACTGTAGTAATTTCGTTAAAAATTGCCATTCTCAATGAAAAATCCACATTGTCCCTGGCATACAGAGTGCATTTTTTAATTAGAATATTTTTCAGTTTTACATTTTGAATGCAGAACCGATCAGATTAAACTATCATTCTTCTTTATATAAGTTAATATGAAGAAAGACATTGACTTTTTTCTATCCATTAAATCTACCGAAACTTGCGTTGTTGCTGTTGTACCGAGTTATATTTTATTAGACACTGTTCAGTCTATCTATCACCTATCAGTAAGTCACCTGAAATAGTTTTATTGCAAATAAAAAATAAACATATAAAATATACATATTATTACATATCTCAAGAGCAATACTTGGCAGTGTTCCACGTTCATATTTTCAACGTCATAATCGCTAACAACTATACAATTGTGCTATTTACTTGGACACCGTAGTCATAATAAAAACAATAAGGTTTAAATAAAAAATTAAAACGTCTGCATAGTGGATTTAAATGTCGGAGGAGCTAGAACGTTTGGTCTGCAATGCGAAAGTTAAGTAACATTCGTAATGGCCGGTCATAGGATGGGTGAGCAATTATTCTCTCGTGTTTGAAAGGTACGTTAAGCTGTAGGTACTGGCTGCATCTGCAATTGTTGACACCCATCAATCCGCACTGGATATTCTCCTCCATATTCTATTCATTTCCATTTAGCTCGAGACAAAAGTGCTCAAGAGCTTTCTATAACTTGATGGATCAAGGCCTATTCTCGCCACTCGATTCCATCCATAGAGATTATGCTTGTGACGATGTTATTAACATTGATGATTTTTTTTTTTAATTTTTATGGAATAGGGGCCAGACGAGCAGACGGATCATCTGATGGTGAGTGATTACCGCCGGAATGGACACCTGCAACACCAGAGAAGCTACAAGCGCGCTGCCGGCCTTTGAGGCCAAATGTATCTAAGGTAAATATGTATCTTATATATTTTTATAATTCGACTGACGGACTGAATAGTTTTTTTTTTATTCAGTCATCTCAACCCTATTATACCTCCTTGCACCTGTTTCAAGACTTTTGTTAAACTATCGCAAGATTTTGTGAAGAAATTAACAGCTACTTCACAAGAAAGTGAAGTAGCTGTTAATTTCCGTATCGCTTACTTTATTTAAGTATAAACTGGTTATGATATAACGTTATTAGACACAGACTGGTTTATTTAACTAATAACATTATCTTGTTTAAACTAGGTGCTACTGGAACATCGCCATAGATTAACGACAGGTTGACAACCTGACACTATGTTGAAGAACTATCTGAATGTAGGTGTACTTTTTATGTGTAACTAGCTATTTCCCCGCAACTTTTTTTGAGAACTGTTTTTGAGATACAAACAAATAATTAAATCTTACCTCCGCTTAATATTTATTAGCGAGTGTTATCTTTTTTTGGAATCGCTGGGAAAATGCATCTTATTCAATGAAGGCTCTTCAAACACTAGGATCTGTTCGAGGGGCGAGGTGAAAGTAGTTGACTTACCTGATAATACCCGCTGCGGAATACTCCCGCCTGGAGGAAGACTCAGCGTGGAGGGCATCTACCCGGACGAGAATAAGATGGCCATAATTATAACCGCTCGACTTCGACGCCCCACGCATGTCGAGTATTTTTATTGTTCCATCACCAAAGGGTAGACTCTATTGTTAAGACTCCGCTGTCTATCCGTCCATATTATATGTCTGTCGGTCTGTCACCAAGCTGCATCTCATAAACCGTGATAGTTAGATACTTGAAGTTTTTACAGATGGCATCATCTTTTTTTTACGACGACAAATACCAAAAAATACAATTAAATAAATAATTAAAGGGATCTTATGTAACAAAATGATGATTTTGTCTTTTTACAGATAAATGGTACGAACCACTTCGTATATAATTTGCACTTGACGGTTTTTTCGTCATCTTTTATAGTCTTTTTGGATTGAACTATTATGTAAGAATAATCGCGTTTTATGTTATCGCATACAAAAGTATTTAGACTTTCCTAAATTCCTGAATATTAAATGATAGGGGTGCCGAGGTATAGGTACCGTTACATGCTGTTGAGTTAAGACAAACATATTTTATAAAAACGTATAAATATTTCCTTATATAGTTTTTTTGTATCATTATAGTGTAAGGCAAGAAATTATTCATCTATAACGCCACAATCTAACAAGAGCGAGTCCAAGTTTTCACACTAACATCTCTTACTTACGTTACTAAAAATAACAATACCTAAAGTATTTAAATCAAATAATTTCTTTTTGTTTTTACAAAGTGTTTACATCACGAGACTTACTAATTATCTCAGTAGGTTATTATGTTTGGTTTAGCGAAAATGACTTCGACGTAATGGATGACGTAGATGCCCATAAATTAGATATGTCACGCTAGGGTTAGAACTCTTAGTTCTAACAAAAATAATATTTCTGAACATGCACTGTTGCCTTAAACAACAAACCTGAAAAATCTGAGCCGACTCTTAGCGTCCATTCAGTCGTATTTCATACTCTGTTCAGACAAGACGTCTCTATCGATGACTCTTATCTCGCGAAAATCGCAAAGAAAATTTATGTATAGCAACTAATAAAGAGCGTTGATCGATAAATGATTCGTGTTTAAGTGTGATTAAAACTGATTCTGTGCGATAAGAACGCCAATGGTGACTTTTAAATTTAGTATTTCTTTTTATTATGTAAAATGTAATTTAAGTGTTTAGCTTTGAAATGGTGTTAGTGTGCCGATGACAATTTGTTTTCAACATATTATACTCTAAATATTATGAAAATGTATTTTTGGAAGCATAATATTTTAGCGGTTTGCATCTTCCTCTTAGGTGAGAATACACATATATAGTTTAAATGTTATTATTATTAAGAAAACACTCAAGGTTGATGTTGAATTATTAGATTGTCAAACTCTTTTCCTGCGACTTCTCTTGCGTTTAATATAATGTATATCACCTGCGTTATAGCGACCCGTAGGTGAATAAAGTTTCACGATCGGACCAGTTGTATTTCCGATAATTACCCCTTTCAAACAAATTAGAAACCTTTGCCTCTTTATAATATACTAGCTGTTTTTTTGCGAATTTGCACATTAAATTATGTTAACCGCGTATAATTAAAGCTACACGTCGTCGAAATAAATTTTAAAATTGATCCCATTGTTTTGGAGCCTTTTCGATGTAAACAAACAATCATACGTTTCCTCTTTATAATATTAGTATAGACTATTACTGCAGTATAAAATAAGAAAATATATACTGAGTCATGACCAGTGGTCGGAATTAGGTAGAGTTATTCATGTACTTACACTGATTTCATACAGCGAAAGAATAAAGTGGATATGCCTCAAATCTCGAGATTAATTTTAAAGAGCAGAAAAAATCCCGTGATTTTTTAAATAAAAAGTTATTTACTTTTACACAATTTAAACTACTGCACGCACGACGTTGCCAAACTTACATCAATGACATAGGATGTCCAAAGTTGCAAAATACCAATACGCGCGATGTTGCCACATTTGTAGGGAAGGTCCACATTAATATCAACATTTCGATGCAAGTACATAAATAACTCTACCTAATTCCGACCTCTGGTCATGACTCATCATTGTTGACCTTTTAGAAGCCTGCTCCAAAATTAAAGTGACGCAAAAAATGAAATTATTTTTTATACTTTAAAAATTTTGGTTAACATAAACGGCACATTAAACCGAAAGGCTTACTGTCACGAGTACGATAAATGAAATTTATGGGAATATCCATCACTGTGGGTGTGTCTAAGGGCTTGATATTAGGTCTGATACTATTCTCATTTACGTGTTACGCTTTCTGGTATTTTTATTTTCCATTCGTTCCTAGAAAAAAATTATATGCCGTAAATTTTAATATGTGCGTTGATTTCTTTTTTCATTCAATTTTTGAAGACAATTTCAATTTACAAATTGTTTTCTCTCACTGTATATAGTATTACCCGTTTGCCGAAGACCTTATTCTATTGAAACGACTAATTATATGTAACAACCTATGGCCTACAGACTTTGTATTTATTAGGTATTGTAATAATACGTACTATTTTGGTAATGACATGATTTATGTAAATGTCATTACTTATTGTCAGCTAAAAGATATCTTGAACGAGTGGTAGGGGAAAAACAACTTTTTTGGACGATTCAAAAGTGCTTGAAACAAGCTTACTTGAATAAAGACATTTTCATTTCATTTTATTTCAAATACATACACAGTACGGAATTAAGCCAGAGCGGGGCATGTAGTAAATCAACGAAACAGAAAACTCATCCTTTGCTTTCCGAATAACTCAACACAACTAATCTGAGACTTGAGTTTTATTTGTCAATTTTATGTTCATTTTTGCATTATTTAAGACTTGACTTGAAAATTAATTAATTTGCTTCGAACCATAGCGAGCCTGCCAAATGCGCAGGGCCCCCAAACATCCGGGGCCCGTAACATTTGCTACGGGCTAATCGGGCCCTGTAGTACTGTATCACTTACCGAGACGTACCAATAAATAAATATTTTGAATGGAAATATATTCTTGTTTTGACTATGGCGTGTGTATACACACACTTGGTGTAAAATTTTGATCTGCTTTTGGCAATACAATAATTTGATATGTTTATGGTATTGATCTTATGTTAACTATACAGTTTATTTTAAGAAATTCTTTAAAAATAATTTATGTGCTTTTTGGCAAAAATAGTGTCATTTTAATTAAAACTAATTTCTTAGACAAGAAAAAATTGGTAAACAAGTTTTGGACATATCATGATATACCTTTTTTTATTCGTCGCTAAAATGCTTTAAGCACAGACCCTGCCATTTGGCGAGCGACAGAGGTGTCTGGGTCTCTTCTCTGTCACCCGAGGCTTACCCAGCAAAACCCTACAGTGAAGGATAGTTTATCAGTAATTAATTTTTAATCATGAAAGTCGATACAAAGTTTTATAAATAATTTCACATATTTGCATCTGACATTCCTTGACATGTTCAATAAATTTAATATTTCCATTTGACATCTTATACATCTTTTAATTAATTTTTTGTACAATTTGATAAAATTGATATGATTGATAACTAATTAAATTGAGAATGTTTTGACACAATTGTAATATTTTGATTAAATGCTAATATTATTAAATATGACATTCATACATCTAGTTTTTTTAGCGTGCTATTCAAGATGGCTAAATAGGTCAAAGCTTAAACTTAAATATCATCACTGTATATATAACCCTATTTATTGCAAATAAAGACATTATTATTATTAAAAATTGGTTAAAAGCATCTTTGCGAGTAAGATAGCAATAGCAATATATCCATATACTTCATTTTACCTCCTACATTGGAATCCGTCATCACCCGACGCGGCGCTGAAACAATAACTTAATTGGCTGCAAATAAGCTCTACTTTAACCCATTATTAGCTATGCTATTCCGTAATAAAATCAGCCTGGAACTCTACGTCCATTACAGCGCTGTCACATCATAGAGCTTCAATGAAATAAAACCCTTACTATCTTTTCGAGTATATTTTATTCGATTAAATCTCTATGCTGCGACATCGACGAAGGTGCTCACTAAGACGGGATTTTACGAAATTCCACCCCTAAGGCGGTAAATAAGGGATTACAGTTTTTATGGAATTTTCTCATTTCTGGACTTGAAACTAGACCACGGGGGCGAACTTGCGAGCAAAAGCTAGGTATACATAAAAAGCTTAATTTTGAACCATCATCTATTTAAAAAAAAAGCACATCAAAATATGTTACGTAGTTTTATAGACTAAGCATACAAATACAGAAAGAAAGCGACTTAATTAAATACTATTTATTGATGATTAATGCTTCGTTAACGTGGAGGAAGGTCAAAATCCTTGTTTATTTTACAATCGCTAAACGTCGATCTCCATTACAAAATTACTCAGATATTGGAACTACCTAAGGGCGCAGTAGGCCGGGTGGGCTAATTGCCTGATTTTAAAATCAAATGCAATCGATTTCAAAGGTTAACACAAAATATTAATATTTATAAATAAATATTTTTCAAAGGTTAGCGATTTATGGAATTAAGTAACGTTTACATTCGTATTCGCTTTTGGGACGAATGATGAATTGAATGAACAAGAAACATAATAAAACCTACTTAAACTGTTTCGTTTGAAATGTCTCATTTACGTTTATTAATTACTTACAAGGATATTTGTATTTGACGCTTGCTTTAGACAATTCCAATTAACGTGAAATTAAAAATATCGTTCATTAAATATCTTTGAAAGAAACTTACGCCCGGTTTCTGAATTGAGAATTTGAAGTTGAGCACGTCTCAAACCGTGCTTAAGCCACTTTAAATGTCATTAAAACATGTTTTCATTGCTGATTTACAAATTTTTAATTATCAGTTGATAGCAATTTGGTAAATCTAATACTTTTTGCCATATGAAACGTAAAAAAACTTACTTTATTAAGAATAATCAGTTAAGATTTTGTACTTTCACAATTCAGAAACCGGCCTTAATTAAATAGTTGTAGCATGAAGATGGTAAACATCTTCCGAATGTCAAAGTGAAAGGGATTGCTTTAGATTTTTAAATTATACGATTAGCCCCCGGGCCTTGGGGTGGCTAATAATGGCATAAAATACAGTAATGATGACAGTAGCTAAATTATGAGAGCTAAAGGGGCGGTTAATAATACATGGCATCGGGTGACCAAGCCTTCAAGTGCTTTTACAAAATACACGAAATTTTACATAGCATACACTTATCATAGGCTTTCCTCTAAGCTTTATCTAAAAATCAAATTTACGGAGGGCCATATAGTGTTAGAGTGTGTAAGCTGGCCAGGTTCAAATAAGAAAAATTAAAACATACATTGACAATTCAAGAAAATGCTATCGAGGTCTGGCGCCCCGCCCTACTTTAATTTCTTCTACATTCTACAATATATTATTTTTCATTTTTTTAAAGTTTGAAACTGATTCGGTTCTATTTAGCTGAAATAAATATATTATCTAAATATTTAGGTGATATCTGATGAAAAGCGTATTTCGTTTTGTTATAAAAGGAAAACTACTGATTCTATTTCGATAAATTTTAAATGGGACCACCTCGGTCCATTAAGCTGTTGAATAAAAAATAATTTGGAAATATTGGTAAACAAATATCGGGGAACATACATAAAAAGTACATTGCCATCGAACATATAACCTCTTCGTTTTCGATTTGAAAGTCGGTTATAACTGTTTTTATATCGTACCCGAGTGGTTCACACGCCGGTTTCAGGGTGTCGCTATATCTAAGATTAGAATCCCGGTTGGAAAATGTTGGAAATATAATTTTCTGTATTAATTTAGGTCCGGGTGTTGGGTACCATCGTTATTAATGATACTCCATAATACGCAGGCTTTTAGCTACTCATTTTAAAAATCACTCTTATTCTTCTTAAAGCACCTACAGCTAAACCATTTGTACAAAAATAAGAAAATATTACAGCATCTTGTTAGCTTTTAATATTTCTACGGGGCCTTGAAACAGATGAAAGCAAACAAATAATATTATATTGATGTGTCAATTGTCGACTATAGTAATACTGCCGGCATGTTTATGTGCCTTAGATGGATATTGACACACGTTATTGAGTCATTATGGCCAGCATCCGTGGGCGGTAGTGTTGGTAGTATTGTAAATTTCGACCCTGAAAATCAGTTACAATTTTGTCGATTGTAGAAATCATCGTCATTTAGGTACCTACCTAGCAGACCAATCATTATTCGTCTAGGATTAGACCGACCAATGCTGATTGGTTGATTTG